GGAATAAGTGGTAAATTTCTGTCTGCTCTACAGTCCTTATATGAAAATGTTAGATGTACAGTTCGTGTCAATGACAGACATACACCATGGTTTAATGTGGACTGCGGAGTTAAGCAAGGCTGTTTATTGTCTCCCACATTATTTGCCGCCTACATCAACGACTTTGCTGAACGTATTAATAATCTACATTGTGGTGTTCGCATCGATGATACTATTCTGAGTATACTTTTATATGCAGATGACATTGCACTGATTGCTCCGGACGAGGAAAGTCTCCAGGAGATGTTAGATACAGTTTCGGAGTGGTGCCGTGAATGGAAAATTGATATAAATCCAACCAAAAGTAACGTTATGCATTTCAGGAATAAACCTGTCAGTCGATCGGACTTCCCATTTAAATGTTCCGACTTGGATATTGAGTACACTCCTTCATACAAATACTTGGGTTTATGGCTCGACGAGCATTTGACTATGGACAAAGCAGTTAAGGAACTTTCGAAGTCAGCTAGCAGGGCACTAGGCGCGCTATACGGAAAGTTTATTAGTGCTGGTGGAATGTCACAGAGTGTGTACACAAAATTATATTCCACTATTGTAGAACCCGTTTTATTCTATGGAGCAGGCATTTGGGGAACTAAAACATTTTCAATGATTAATTCGATTCAGAATAAAGGATCTAAGTTATTCCTGTCAGCCGTTAAATATACATCAAATACCGCCGTCAGAGGTGACATTGGATGGTCCTCGTGTTTTACCAAACAACGTATTGCTTGTATTCGTCTGATGTGTCGAATTACTAGATCTGATGATGTCCGTATTACCAGTAAGATATCAGCATGGATGGCAATTAGCGTAAGGGATGGTACTACCAAGTTAGCAAAATGATACACAAGATTAATGCTACGGACATAGTCAACGATAATAACATTACGACAAAAACTGCGATGAGAACAATTTATGAGCGCGTAGATATTGTAGACCATGACGAATTTGTTAGCGAACTTTTTAATGACAAAAATAATCCAAACGGCAATAAACTACGTACATATAGACTATACAAAGAAAAAGTAGAAACAGAAAAATATTTGAAACTTCAGTTGCCGAGATCGGTCCGACGAGTTGTTGCCCTGTTCCGAAGTGGATCGCTTCCGTTGGCCATCGGGACAGGCCGGTACGCACGACCGCAAATAGCAGTTAATGAAAGGAGTTGTAAATTTTGTCCGAATGACGTCATAGAAAACTAAAAACATTTTCTAATGAACTGCACTATGTATGATGACTTAAGATATAATTTATTTTCTCGAGCCAAAAACTTTATAGATAACTTTGATACTCGTGATATTGACAGTCAATTTATCAGTCTTATGAAATGTAAAGAAATGCAATTCTCATTATCATACGCACTTTTCAATTTTTATCAGAGAAGAAAGAAATTTATTTGAAGGTTAACATATATTTTTCATAGTTATATTTGTAAAGTCTTTTTATTATTGTTACTATTGTTACTTTTTTATTACAGATCTTCCACTAGATCCATTTACTTAATATAAATCACATTTAAAATATTTTATTTTTTTCCCCTAGAAATATGTTGTTTTTTGTTTGTTTTTTTAAAGTAGTTTACCCGGTTTTTGGCAAAACACTTTTCTTTTAATCATTGCTAATGTTTTTAAACTGTAATCCTTTTATCAATTTGGTCTATCTAATATTAATTGAAATTTTTACCAGTAAAATGTTTTAAAAAGCAGTTTACATAATGTGATAAACCAGTAATTATTTTGGAATTTTGAAAGGATATATATAAATAAATCCTCATTTTATTTTATTTTTTATATAAATGTACAGTTGTCTGATATGTTTTAAAGTGTCTCATAAGTCTATTCTAAGGCTGGATATTTGATCTCTGTTTTTATTATGAATTGTTGTATATATATATATTGTTTGATCAAATATGTGACACTATAATAAAATAATTATTTATTATTTTATTTATTTTTTATTTACCTGTACATCAATTAAACTAAATTGCAAAAACAACAAATTACCTTATAACAACAGCGATTGTATTTTGTTTGTAGGAATAGAAGGGATATGTATTTTTAAAATGTAGGAATAGCAGGAAGACACCATTTGGAAGGCCATATAATTTACCTCAATTTAGGATAGACTCTTTAATTTTGAAGAGTCGAAATATTAGAAATAGGATGAACTGATCATATAAACCCGAAGGAAAATATAATACAAGCCCAAATATATATACGATATATGTTTTAATCATTTATTGACATTATATATATAGTAATATAGAATTCTATATTTATTAGTATATAGTAATATTATGGATAGAAATTCTATTATGTACTATGTACGATTTTTTTTTAATAATTTATTTATAGAAATTCAAAAGCCTATCATATGTCAATGGGTGGCAATTTTATTAAACAATCATATATCGAACGGGTCAATTAAAATATCTTTAAAAATACCAAATACATTTATTTCTGCGGTGAAAGTTAATATCCAATTTTCACAGTAGCATTTCATCATGCACAGTAAATATTTTAGACAGAGTCAATATATGTGAATGAACGTATTTTTTTTTCGAATGTAAACAGCTCCCCTGTAACAAAATATAGGTGTGTCGTAATGGGGGAACCTTCATGACAAATAATGGTAAAAAATCTTGCCAAATAACGTTAACGGTAATTTTTGGTGCATGACGATAAAATGTACACTTTCTTTTAAACGATAAAAAAATCGACTGATTTTGACGAATCACGTTAATTTTTTTCCAAAAGTAACGGTAACGATAATTATTTGAGACTTCTGACGAATCACGATAATTATTTGAGACTTCTGACGAATCACGATAAGGATATTTTGACGAATCACAGTAAAATTTTAACCAATTTGACGCTTACGGTAGCCGAAAATGACCGTTTGACGACTGACGGTAAATTGCATTCCTACCGTCATATAGTGTCCAACCCCCACTCCATGACCTATACCTTTAAAGGTGAGACGCGTGTCGACAAAACCAACACAATTTGTATCAAACATTTTTTCTATGCAACCCATCCCGAAAAACAGATTATTTTAGCATTCAAGAAATAATACGGAAAATATATGCAATAAATGCCCGTGCAATTTTGATGTTTATATATTGTGAAAACCAAATTGTGGGGGGAAGTGGCTATATGAATACGTATTGTCAACTTTCCGCATGGGAAGAATGGCAATGATCCAAAATTTCGCCAGGGGAAAACTGGCATGGGGGGGAAATGGCTATATAACACCGGTCTTAATTTAGATTTCTCAAAATATTAATTACGAATAGAAAGAAATGTAGAGACATACACTTTAACATGTTAATAAGAAATCTTTAAAAATATGTCTTAGAAAAGGTTAAATAATCATTAAGCAAAGCATGCATATTGAAAATGATATTCGATTCAAAAATATCACATAAGTTTTGAAGTTAAAAGTTACTTACAAAAAATATGTCTTTTTTTTAAATATAATATTTAAGCAAAGCATGCATATTAAAATTGATATTCTAGTTAAAATTTAATTAACATATGCAATAAGTTTTGGAATTAAAAGTAAAACTCAACAACATCAAAACGATTTACAAGTGTTACAAAACCATGACCTCTGAAAATTTTTAGTCTGCCCTTCCACGAAATATTTAATTAGAATTTTTTGAAATATTATTGAACTTTCGAAAATTTCCCCTAACAACCGATCAGACAATAGTTTTAAGTTGACCAAATGCATAAAAGTACATTAAATGATGCTCAATAGCTAGAAACAAAAGAAGGTTTGCACTGAAATCCTTAGATATTTTCCAGTTGTACTGCAAAAATTGGAAACTGAAGCTGAATGTTAAGAAAACTAAAGTAATGGTATTTAGGGGGGGGGCTAGGATGAAATTTAAAAAAAAGGCAGGACAGGAGTTATGACTGAGTAAAAAAATAGAAGGATGAGACAATTTGCAAAATAAGGCAGGATGACAAATTATTTATGTTAAAATAGTCAGAATACCATAAAAAAAATCAGGACCTAATAGAGTGAAAATTAAAAAGGCAGGACAGAAATTACAACTAAAAACACATGCTGCAGGACAAACTGGTAGATTCTTACTCTTAGTCCAAATAATTATGACGTCTTGCTTGCAAGACGTCATAATTATTTGGCAAGACGTCATAATTATTTGGACTAGTAGCTTCTATAACCCCAAAAAACACTATTATTATTTTTAAATGTATATATTAACAAATGATTAATATGATTATTATTATTATTACAGTTGCTTAAATTTTAGTGATAAAAATATGAAGAAAATTTTTTAAAATAGTGGTATAAATATTTAAAAAAAAAATCATTTTTTTATCACTAAAATTCAAGCAACTGTGTTATTATTTATGTACAAACATGTTTAAAATCATATAATTATGCATGTGTTAAATTTTTTAATCAAGGTCAATATACATGTATCTGAAGTAATGAGCATTTGTAAATATACTTTCAAATACTTCATTTATTAAAACTACCTTTAAAGAAATTAAAAAAACTGCATTATATAACTCAAGGACGTATATTGTTCGTTATACGTCCTTGTATAACTCAAGTACATGCATTACTTTTTTGTAGATATGTCTGTTTGTTGTTGACAGTCCCTTTACTTTAAAGTTACAATTTTGTCATTTAAAGATTTAATATTTATTCCAGATCAATTTTGCACATCTTGAAGAGAAATTAAAACAAACAATGGAATGTAGCAAAGTGGACATGTATACTTGATGAGTGCTAAATATGAAGATTTTTTGAACAGCGGTATAATTACTGCATGTTACTTTTTTTTGATAAAGAATCTATACTTGATTAAATGACTTTGAAATAACCAATAGAATTTCAATAACAACATGTACATATAGTTCATTGCATTTACAAGCTGATTTAATCATTTATAATGTAACCAAGCACAGAAATCTCGATAAACTGGTGGTCCAAAGATTTGACCACCAAACTTTTTAAAGGACCGTCACAACTTTGGTTATTATTTTGCAACAGAAATTATAGTGAGGACCAGCAGGTTTTCTTGTAGGACCACCAGGGAAAAAAAGATTTCGAGAACTCTACAAGCATGCATTCCACAACTCACTGGTTAGTGATATTTTGGTATTCTAGATCATAGAAAGTTGCAAAATATTTATGATGAACTTATCGATTAAAGAAATATCACCGTAGTAATTATGTAATGTTTTTGTTTGTTCCAACCACAACCATGTTTGACAATGAGTGAATATAATTTCATTTGTTTATAATTACCATCAATATTATGGCTGTGGGCTATTATTCATTATTTTGCCACCATGCAAATTAGAACAGAGACCTTATTCATTGTATACTTATTAAAATTAACCATTTATAATGATAAATTGTGACTCAAAATTCTACATTTTATAACTATTGATTATTCCATTACTTGTAGCACTTCTTTTTAACATGATGGAGTTGCAAAAAGTTACCACAGTTCTATGGTCATGATGGACAACTAAAGGAGAATAGTTTCATTTGTCAAAGGACAACTAAAGGAGAATAATTTCATTTGTCAAAGAACAACTGAAGGAGAATAATTTCATTTGTCAAAGGACAACTAAAGGAGAATAATTTCATTTGTCAAAGAACAACTGAAGGAGAATAATTTCATTTGTCAAAGGACAACTAAAGGAGAATAATTTCATTTGTCAAAGGACAGGAGACTTTCCATGCCCTAAGGTTTTAAAAGCTGAAATTGTAAGGCTTTAAGAAATTAATGTATATACATATGGTCCTGTCTTAAGTTTCCATAAAAACATTTAATATAATTTAAGTCTTTAACTTTTTTGTTTAGACATACTTTATGAAAAATATAATGTTTTAACTTTGTTCAATGCATTTTGATACACCTCTCTTTAATTGGAAGAAGTAAAGCACTTAATTTATACACAATAACCTTTTTGATTTTAGCATTCATATGAACCTTTTTGAAGATCATTAAATGGAGCTAACACTTTGAAGGGATGTGGGGTCCCATGAGACAGCAACTCAACTACAAAAATAACCAAAGGAACATATCAATATACAGTTTTAACAGTCTAAACCTAATGCTCCATATAGTCAAATTCCAAGAAATTAAAAGAGTAATTCTTCAAATACATAATGTGTGTCTCCAATTAATAAATCTGATCTTGTGTCATATCTTTTTAGGAAAATAAGATGCAGAGAACCATTCATGAAGTATATATATGATACTGATATTTACAATGTTCTCCAGAGCTATAACTCCAGCCCTTTAGATTACATTACACTACTATTGCTTGCTAATTCTATCATCAATAGCAGGAGAAGAGAGGAGATTCAGCACTATGAATGATCTTTGCAATTTGCTGTGGATGATGACTAAATCAAATTTGGATGCATTGATGAAATTCATATAGCGATGACAGTTACTTCATTGAACAAGAAAAAGCTGTTAATATTTTCAATGGTGCAAAACAAACAAGTTATGAACTATAAAATGATTAAAACTGTGTTGAGTTTTCAATTTGTTTAAAAAGTGATAACATTTACCTAATGAAATATAATGAGCACCAAAGATGCTATCATTTGGATTGATTGTAAAGTTTACATGTCTGACTGGCATGTTTTATTTGCCCTTGAACTCATGTTCATGGATCATTAGTCAGTGTAATGTTTCAAATGTTGGATCCTCTTCTAAGATACTATAAACAAAATGTCTATAAATGTCTATTTGGTTTATGGTATGATTGTAAGGTGTACAAGTCTGTCTAGCTTGTTTTTATCTGACCTTGACCTCATTGTCATGGATCATTAATAATATTTAACTTGTAATAAACTTTTATCTTTAAGGCTAATAATGTAAATCATTCAAGCAGGCAACACATTTCAGCTTGTTTTAGACATCAATAACTTGGTGAAACTTTCTTAATTTTTTTTTCAAATCTTTAACAGATTTTTTTTATGATCAAAAGAAAGTATTCAGTGCAAAATATTTTATTTAATGTTGCTGTATTTTTCTGATAGGGACTGAGTTTTTTGCAATTTTTATATAAACATGATAAAGATTACATTCTTGGGTTTATGCATAAAAAAACAAGTCAAACAGTCCTAGAATGTAAAGAAACTTTGGCAGATTTGCTTAAAATTGATGTATGGAAGATATTGTTTGAAGCAAACTTTACAAATATATCTTTCCATTGTTCAGTCTTTTCATTTTTGCAGTGAACATTTACATACAATACAGTCTGGACTTACATTCTTTAGACATCAATAAGTTAGTTAATATAAAGATAAGAAGATGTGCTTATAATTGCCAATGAGACAACTTTCCACTAGAGAGCAAATGACATGGAAGTTAACAACTATATTTGACCATATGGCCTTTAACAATGAGCAAAACCTATATTGCATAATGAGTTATTAAAGGCCACAAAATGAGAAATGTAAAACAATTCCAGAGAGAAAACTAACAGCCTGATTTATGTAAAAAAAAACACAATTAACGAAATACAAATATGATATACAGCCACTGAATTACAGGCTCTTGACTTGGGACAGGCACATTCAGAATGTGGCGGGCTTAAACATGTTGGTCAGCGCCCAACCCTCCTTCTAACCTGAGACAGCGGTTTAACAGTGCAATATATGAACAAACTGAAAATCAGTTGATAAGGGCTGAACTCATACTGTATTTATACATCCCTACAACAAAAAAGAAACTAAGTACAGATATAATAGTACTGGCAGTTACTGACAGCTAGTTCAAAGCCAATAACAACTTGTAAAAAAATCTGTATCTAAGACTTGAGTATCAATAAGCACACATCCAACATCCAATGGATTAAGTGTAAAGACGTCATTAACAGTCTAATGTATGGCTGTGCAGCATCAAATATAACAACCATCTATAGGTACACATTAGAGGGGCGGATCCAGCCATTTTAAATAGGTGGGTTCCATATGTACCCATTAAAATGCATTGATCGTCCAAAAAGAGGTCTGGATCCGCAACTGTATTACTGAGAGTGTCACCATATACTTATTAACATTCTGACCAATCTCAGTGCCCCATACTTCGATGCATTGATCTTCATCTATAAAAATGGCTGATAAATGACACTGGTGTGGTTTTCTTAATTGTTACAGTAACAATTTTCACTAATTTAATCTTTAGACTTATCAATGATGATATGACTTGCAGAATTTTTATGTATCGTGTCGATCTTAACGAGTTCTGCAATTTCCAACTGATTTCTACATTTTATTCTTACTTTGTGATGCTTCAGCACTTTTAGATGAGCTCTTATATGTGTGTCTTGCAATCCACAGCACGATTATGTACGCCATTAGCTAATGAAAGCTAGGAACATGTAATTCAGTAGTTTGAGAAGGTTGCTGCCTGTAATTTTTTTCTCGTTTATTATTTTGTCATTCATTATGCCGTTGGTCTTTCCTTTTGAATTTTTATACATTTGGTTATGTCAGGCATGGTTTAGATGACTATACGGAAATGGTTTTGCTCCGATAGTTCAGTGAAGGCCGTATGGTGGACTACAATTGCTTTAACCCACGTCATTTCATAGGTAATTGGCGACAGGACAATTTTTTAGCCCCCGCCCTTTTTCCAATACCCGTAAATTTTTTCCCTAAAAATTTCAAAATTTTCCCGTTTTTCTGTGTCATGAATATACTACAAATAACTTGTATTTGCTATTTACTATCAATTTCAAGTTTACTATCCACAGCAGTCATACTGATTTATTTTGATAAAATTGAGAATGGAAATGGGGAATGTGTCAAAGAGACAACAACCCGACCAAAGAGCATAAAACAGCCAAAGACCACCAATGTGTCTTGTTTATGAATTCCCTACTCTGTCTCCGTGGTCATCATTGACAAATTTCAGTTACTTTTTCTCTATGTTATTTTTTTTTTTTTTGCAAAATAACTACACACATATAAAAACAAATGGACAGCGCTTTTTCCGTTTCAAAACCAGTGACGCCGTCAACAAGAAGCAACAAAGGCATGTTTCTTGCGATGGTAAAGCCCCCTCGTTCTTTCCAAAGAAATAGACGGGGGCCTTTACCATCGCATGAAACTATTAGCCGTGTAAAACAGCGAGACAATGTTAGTATTTAGTAAAAAAAATTAAAATCTTCATAAAATTAAAGATTTACAATATTGAGGAGTTATATTAAATCTTTATAATATATATGTTAATGTGAAAAATATGCATTTTCAAATGCAACCCACCTCCCCGGTCGGATTATTTTCACTTGATTATATACAAAAAAGCATCATGTTTAATTTGAGCAGTTATGTCCAATTTCTACCGTGTCAGGATAAGAGCAGAACTGAAAATTAAATAAAGGTATGATTAAATCTATGAGGTTTAACCAAGGATTTGTATAGTAACTATACAAATCCTTGGTTCAGCGTTCAAATTATACAAATCTAGAAATTTGAAAGAAACAAAATAAATACTAAAAAAAGTAAATCAAATGTAAAACATTTAATATATGTTTGATACCAATAGTGACCAATCTGTTAATATATATAGCTGCTTGGTATACAGCTTGCAGTCTTCTAGAATATGAATAAACTATTTTTCGAGCAACAAATCAATCAACTTCCCAAACTAAAAAAAAAGAAAAATAGAAAAGGGGGAAGTAAAAGCACTCAGTTCAGTTGTTGTCAAGCTATTAAAACACAATATTCGCTATTGTATTGATACTGACAAAATATTCGTGTACCACCCCACCCCACGAAAACCCAATTTTGTTGATAGAATAAACAAAGCGTGTACGAAATTTTACATGAAGTGGCAATGGCGTATCTAGAAATTTTCACTGACTGCCTAAGAGGGGCCCGCTGCAGTCTGCTCTATCGATTCCCTAGTATAATCAGCCCATTTTTTCCCACAAAAAAATCCGAGAGGGGTGTCAATAAGCTGAAATCAAAACTTACTATAAATAAATAGTTCGATCATTCATCTTAATTTTTGATAAGGTGGAGAATGGATTCGAGATTTATAATGCTTTTTTTTATACCAAAAAACAAAATATATTATTTTTTAACCAAGATTTATATAGAAATATTTTTTAAATCCTTGTTTAAGATTCTTTTATATCTAAAAACAGGAGTTTTACACATTTATTGAAAATATTTTGTTCATCTCCCTTTTAAAACAAATCATTACTAAATGCATCTAAATAAAAGATAAAACTCTCGTCTTGAAAATAAAACAGCACGATACATGTGCTCTTCGACCATGTTGTTGTTATTGAAGTATGGGAGGAGTTTATTATTCAACATGTAAATGCCATCCAATCGCGTATTAGGAAAAAAACCTACAGATCGTAGTCGAGGCTCATGAATATAACATATATCTCAACAATTGCTACCAGACGTTATTGTTCGCAGTAAGAACGATAACTCTGGTGCAACGAGACTAGTACTTTTAGTGAAAAATTGTTATTCGAACACACCTACTCTGTTGTTATGACTCATTAGAAAGGTATTTCACTTGACCCATATGTTTTATTTTTTAGTACTGTATATTTTTAATGTTATCATATCAACATAGAGCCTTAATATATAAAAATGATAGAATCTTAAGCGAGATGATGTATCAAATATTTTTCTTTAGTACGTTTTCAAGACAGAATAGCCAACTCAAACACGCCTGAACATAAAAAGGTGTACTCGACTTTCTCTTTTCGATGAAATTATTGCCCATTTTGGGGATTTTTTCCTAAAAAAAACTGTCGCCGGGGGCAGAGATGCAAATTAATGCTTAAAAAAGATCAATCTATTATCTTTCTTTGGAATTTTTTTCGGCGGAATGTATGCTTATGCTAAAAAAACATCCACATGTATTTGCACCTACCACAATCGACTGTTTTGTGAAAATTTGTCTATGATTTAAAAGTTTACAAATATCTCGAAGCTCCATACCATAATTTAAGTAAAACAACATACATAAGACGCACAAAATCCTAAATTAGGTAAACAATTCAAATTTATCAACTTAGTCTTTTTTACCTTCTCTAACAAAGAGTTCAATTTCTTTTGTTTAATTTCAACTGGGTTTCCACCTGTACCTATGTACAAAAACAGACGATTTTACTCAGTGTTGATAAATCACACAGGTAACTCATTACAACAAATAAATGAAGTTTTGAATAGACTAAGCATTGAAATTTTTACAGTCACCAGTGAAAGTGTGAACGGTCTAGTGAATGACTTAGGTCGTGTACTTTTAGACACGGCTGATACTCTGTTTTGTAAATCAAAATAGAAACTTCACAACCCCGACCATGCAAGCAAACATTGGTTCAACAAAGAATTTAAATGCGAGAGAAGAAGAAGATCTACATGCACCCGATTTTGACATTAATCAGATTTGTAGTAATCATATTTATGATGAAATCTTGAATGGGAATATTACAGAATTAGAAGTCTTGGAAGCGATGAGGAATTTGAAAAATAACAAGGTTCCTGGTTCTGATAAAATCCTTAATAATTTTTTGAAAAATTCGCGCCCTGTTTCTGTATCATTGTATTGTAAATTCTTTAATATTGTATTAGATACTGGAATTATTACAGACACTTGGACAAATGGTATTATCAAACCAGTGTTAAAAAATACGGAGTGTCTATTGTTCCGGCTAGCTGGAAGAATAGTGAAAAATTTCTATTTTTCCAATAATATCAAAAGCAGTGTCATGTGGCGCGGAAAGTGTCCTGAATGAGGTGTCGGATTGCAAATGCGCGTATGCAATGGACGTATTGAGAATTGGAGATCGTGATTTATATTTAAAGATGTCCTTAAGAAAATAAGAAATACTTTGTTTGCTTAAAAAAACAAATTTCTAAATGACAGACTCCAGAACAACAGCGTGTGCACGTAAACTGAGAGGAATAAAGCGTGAAATCAAACTGAAATTGCTTATTTACCCGTATCAATGGAGGCAAATCGCATAAAATAAATTCACAGGAAAACAACTAAATCAAATATACTTGGATACATTATTTTTAAGTTCTACTACAACGGAGATCTATGAACATGCACTGATATGCCTGGACTGGGAATAGTATACCAGGGTTAATTTTTGAGGATATAAACCCCCTTTTTTAGCTCACCGTTCCGAAGGAACGGTGAGCTTTTGCCATCACTTGGCGTCCGTCGTCGTCCGTCG